CCAGGTAATTTAAGACACTGTTAGAAACAGAGAGGTACCTTCACCAAATTTGCCAGCGCACTGATCTTAGACTTCAGAATGATAAGAAAATTCATTTCCGTTAAGTAAATGCCTATCTTTATTTTCTGCCCTGAGTGACCTCAAGGAAGGAAGGAATATATCCTTCCCCGTTTTCCTTCAGAGTACACTGAGCACAGGCAGGTTTTACATTTATATCCAGGGACACAGAGCTGAGAAGTGTCATGTTGGTCTCTCCAAAGACTTCATTCTTCCTGGTACACTAGATCAATTCCTTAATCTAAAAAGCCCATAAAAACACAACCTCTTAAAAAGATTGATTTTAATTTTATGTGCATGAGTATTTTCACCTGCATGTATGTATCTGTGCCATGTCTGTGCCAGGTGCCATGGGGGCCATAAGAGGGTGTTGGGTGCTCTGAAACTAGAGTTACAGATGATTGTGAGGTCACAAGCTGCCAGGTGGGTGCTGGGAATCACACACGGTCCTCTACAAGAGGATAACCCTTCCCTAACACACACACACACACACACACACACACACACACACACACACACACACCCCTACACCACCCCCACGTGCACCAAATTCTTAAATTGAGTCAAAAGGTACTTCTGAAGGGATGTCATACATGAATCCGAAATTGCATTCATTGGAAACCATTTCTCCCTGCACCTCACTCCAGACCTTGACATTCATGGCCATGTGAAGTGTGAATGCATGGAAATTATAACCAGGAGCATCAGTTTTGCCTGGGGAATTGGGCAAAGAGCCTGTCTGTCATCAGAAGGCCCAATTCGGGCAGTAATTCGCAAACAAATGCTCTAGCATCCCCAAGCAGTAGAGAAAGTAACCCTGAGTAACCTAGAGACAGTTACTTGTAGCTTCGTAGTAACCATGGTAACTGGTAACTTCTTCCAAGACTAGTCCCGGTCATCATGTGGGTTTGTCACCTCATCAAGTCAAGAGCCCCTACTAGTCTGTTCATTTATATATGAAAGGTCAATACATTCACATAGCCTCATGGCAAAGTACAAGGAATTCTATTTCAACACATAGTGTGTGACAATATCCCCCTTACTGTAGATAAAACGTAAAGTATATAAGCATCCAACCGGACGGTTTGGAAGCACAGAGGCACTATTGGGACTGAACATTAACAAGATTTTATTTAAATAAAACTCCAAATTCTTTACCCAGCTGCTAATGATCAGCACGCTGAAAATTTTGTAATTGGACAAATTGCATGGAAGGAATCAATTATGCAATCAGTGGCAAGTTTCAGCTTCTGTTTCCAGCCAGTATCAAGGAGGTGGGTTGATCAGCCACAGGATAGCACATATTCCCCGATCCTCCCTGGCACCCGCCGTGGAATATATTACTCCGGCAGAGAAGCTGTTATTGTGTACCTGTTAGGTAAGGAAGATCTGTAATTCAGCAACCACGCTTTGGTAATTAGCTCGATACTAGCCGACGCTCAAACCTCAACACATAACAACATTCAGAAGTTTTCAATACTTAAACAAAAAAGAAAGGAAGAATAAAAATATTTCTTTTAAATACCAAAGAAGATATTGGTCAAAGATTGGACGATCTACTTTAAATTTATGGCAAGAACACTAAGCTAGAGTGTGATATCGTCAAGAAATGGAGACCATTAACGTACAATACCCTTCATTGTGTTTTGTTCCGCTCTATATTAAAACCTGAATGAACTAGATTTAAAAAAAAAAAAAAAGTATGCAATTTTTTTTTAACCTTTCGCCCAGCAAAGAATACAATAAACAGTAGCCTCATTCAGAGATCTTTGGTACAAAGCAAAATGCTTTGACACTTAATGGTATCATTATTATAGGCTTAGGATAGGCAAACAAGCGAAGAGACAAGAAGATGGTGAGGGGCCGGGCGGTGGTGGCGCACACCTTTAAATCCCAGCACTCGGGAGGCAGAAGCAGGCGGATTTCTGTGAGTTCGAGGCCAGCCTGGTCTCCAAAGTGAGTTCCAGGAAAGGCGCAAAGCTACACAGAGAAACCCTGTCTCAAAAAACAAACAAACAAAAAACAACAACAACAACAACAACAAAAAACCCACCTTAATCTAGGGGTTGGGGATCTAGGTCAGTGGTAGAGCGCTTGCCTAGCAAACACAAGGCCCTGGGTTCGATCCTTAGCTCCAAAAACAACAAAAAAGAAAGGAAGGGAGGGAGGGAGGGAGAGAGAGAGAGAGAGAGAGAGAGAGAGAGAGAGAGAGAGAGAGAGAGAGAGAGAAAGAAAGA